TTTTCGTCTTATCCCACAAAGTCCTGTCCCGATTGTTTTTGGGCCAGGACGAGACTCGTTTCAATATGATAGGGATAATATAGGATCAATCGAGACGGATACAAACTGAACACCCTTAAATAGCGCATTCATCCCTTCTCTAGTCACGAGTCCTGAAAAATGGGATTGATAAGGTAGTCTAAATACATCTTTTATGCTCACCCTTGATACAAATCTCCTAACACGTCCAGGATGATCTAGTTTTCCTGTAGCAACAGTTAGGATGTCATTCCTTCCCTCTGGAATGAATAATCCATTGGACTGTTTCTACTTAAGTTCATCCTTTAACATACAAATACTAAACAATTAGTAATATTTTATATTTAAAATAAATACAGAGAGGAAATTTGGTATAGTTATAATTTTTTAAGCAATATCATGAGTACGCTCGCTTGAAAAGGACCCGTCCTTCTTTTGGTGAGCATGGATCCATCTCTCATCGTGATGTACTGGAGATGGTGGAGACAGCAAAATAGAAGGATCAGATTTAGCTTGTTCTTCCTTCTTCCTCCTCTTACCATCCGTTAATTCTTTATCGGCTAAAGCATAACTACTACAAGATTTTGTTTGAGGACAATTATACATCCTTCAAATTTCTTGAGCCTTTCTCCTTCTTTCTTATAAATTTGAATTCCCAAAATATTCATAATTTAAGAAAAACAACAATATATAACTATAATAAATCAATAAACAATAATTAAATTAAAACAAACTAACTCGCCATAGCATCTGGTGTAATCCTAAGCCTAAAGAATTTGTCAAAAGTATCTGGTTTCAAAAATATATACTTGACACAAGGATCAGGCTAGAGCTGCCCTTCTGGCACCTCGACATGCACAAATCTTTAGCCAATGATGTCTTGAAACCTTTCCAATGGTTACTGGCCTAGGTCATCAACTAATGCTTAAAGTTTGCATCATTAGGGACATCATAGGTGACCTGCAATATATGCTATTAAAATAGTTAGTGACATAGTGATATTAATAATTAATGACAAAAAAGTGATATAAGCGCTCACATTGATGGCATCCCAAATTTGTGCCTTGACACGTTGGGATATAAATTCATATTGCATTTATATTGTCCATGATAGATTTAAATATTGATGGCATCCCAAAAATGTCATCAACATCGACATCCTGCACTTGAGATGTACTCGGTATTGGCATATTCAGTCTTTCACCATGTCATATCCATACTCTATAACTTTTAAGAAACCTTTCACAAATTAAGTGTTCATATATCCTATCTATACTTAACCGCCTCTCATTCAAATAGTCCCTAAAAGGACAATAAAACCTCTCGCTACCATTTTCAGCATTGCTCCGAGCAAATTCTAGAAACCTCTTAACCCCGTTAACATACTCTAGGCTCGTTCTTTTGGCATCTATCCAACTATGATTCATGTTTAATTTGTCTTCCTAAAACATGACAAAATTCATGGATTATTACTAAATCCATCAGGATAGGGCTAAATAACGAGTTACATATTAAAAAAACAAGAAATAAGCATGCTAACGCAATAATTGCTAATTTTTTTTAGAATATTTGTTAGAGATGGCTTCTCTCCTATCTAATAAGTAGGAAGAAAGCTAACTCTATATTTTTTTTGGCCCTTTCCATATAGAGGAAAGGGCAAAACAATAAATTTTAAAAAAATTTCAGCATAAGACTTTTTAATAAATTTACAATTGAAAATACAGAAAGAAAATATTATTTTTTAAATAAAACAAAGTCGCATACAATGCATAATAGCCTTAGACCTTTACCAGCACTCCACCGGCATACAAAAAATAAATTAGTAATGCAATCACAATAATTTATTATAATTAGGAAGATGAAAGCCTAATACAATTTGTAGTGCTTCATATTACTATATATACGCACGCACGCACCCACCCACCCACCCACACACACACACACAAAATTTGAGAATATTTATTAAAGTTGGCTTCCCTCCTATCTAATAAGTAAGAGGGAAACTAACTCTATATTTTTTTGCCCTTTTCATATAGAGGAAAGAGCAAAACAAAAAGTTTTAAAAAAATTTTAGCAGAGTTTTTCCCTTTATATTTTTTAGCCCTTTTCATATAGAGGAAAGAGCAAAACAAAAAGTTTTAAAAAAATTTTAGCAGAGTTTTCCTTAAAAGTTAGACTTTTCAATAAATTTACAATTAAAAATACGAGAAGAAAATAATATTTTTTTAAACAAAACAAAGTCACATGCAATGCACAATGGCCTTAGACCTCTACTATCACTCCATCAACGTACGAAAAGTAAATTAGTAATGCAATCACAATAGTTTATTATAACTAGGAAGATAAAAAGCTAATACAATTTGTAGTGCTTCATATATACCATATATGTGTGTACACACACACAAGCAAAATACACACACACACACACACAAAAATCATATAGACATTAGTATTTAAGCAAGAATTGGACCTTCCTAAGTTTCAACATAAAGATTAAACCACCTAAATCCTAAATTTCAATCCTTAATGCACCTCATACTTGATTACTCCAATCCAACTGTCCTATACATTTTAACAAACACCTTATGGTCATTAGTAAACCAACTATATTATCAAGCTTTCTATTCTTCCAATCCCTTACTCAACAATTCCTAAATTTTTATGCAAATTTGTTGTGCTGCCTAAACTCGTGGCTTTATCAAAAATCCATTCAAGCATAACTAAAATTCTACCTTTACCTTTGTCGATTTTATAATAGTATGTAATAGGAACACCTACCTTATATAAACTCTTGTCTTGCCAATTTCAGTTTTTGTTAAACTCCTATATTATAATTAATTTTTTTAACTTAATACAAAAAGACACGCACGTGCCAAGAAAAGAGAAGGAAGAAATTTTGAACTTACATGCCATAATTTCTGTCAATAGCAACGCCGAACAAAGGGGAAGAAAAAGATTTTGACAATGCAAACATAGCAAGGGAAGAAGAATCACTCAATTTGAATAGAGGAAGAAGATCTATGACAACAATAAACAAACAAGGTGTGCACACCAAGGAGAGAAAGGAAAGAACAGAGGAAGACGCTCAACGGGACTGAAGAAATGAGAAAAGAAACTATTGCTGTGCAGCGGCAAAAATCAATAGCAAGAAGCTCCTAAACCAAACGCCGCACTGACTCTTTCTAGCAATGTGATCGAGATATATCATAAAGAAACAGCTCGTATGAAGCAAACTTGGAAGAAGCAAATCTGCACCATTAGCGATAGAGGAATGAGCTGATAGTCTCTCGAGTGTTAGGAAATTCTTTCAAAAATTTTCCCTCCAACACCAAAATGAGAAAATGAGAGAGGGAAAAAAGACGCGGATCAAAATATTTTTTTCTGCATAGAGGGATGAGGTTTATGAACCGAGGGAGATGAGGTTTCAAATTAATTTCATTTGCACCATTTTATTTTCCATCAAAATTTGAAAACAACTTTAAAAAATGAAAATTGAAACTTAAAAATATCCACACCGATTATTAGGAATACTCGGTGTAGATATATAAAATTAAAAATAAAAAAATATGATAATTCATATCTACGCTGGTTATAATGTATACCTAGTGTAGTTATGTTAAAATAAAAAAGTAAAAAAATTGTAAAATATATCTACACCAGTTATTAGGAACACCCGGTGTAAATATCTAAACGTTAAATAAAATAGAAAAAACATTATAATACATATCTACACCTGTTGGAATGAATAACCGGTGTAGATATGTTAAAATAAAAAAGGAAAAAAATTATAAAAACACATCTACACTTGCTATTATTTATAACCGGTGTAAATATGTTTATATATATATATATATATATATATTTAAATTAAAAATACATCTACACAGGTTACTCTAATAACTAGTGTAAATATTAAGGCAACTTCAATTTTTTTACAAAGATGCTACCGTCTTTTTTTTTTCTACATCATATACATAATAACTAGTATAGATATGGGAGTTTAATTCTTTTTTTTTTTTTACTAGTGCAAAACTACGCATATTAACCATGGGAATCGATTGGGCATTTGAAGACGATATCCTACTGATACTGGCTAGTGCTGATGCTGTGATTCTGCGTTGTTCCCGTTCAGTAGATAAAACAAATAGTCGGCAAGGAAAGCATGGTTTAATTAATAATATTTTTTTCTTGACCTGAAACTCTGTCACTATCTTCAACAAACCATTGTTTGGCACCGCCTTCTTATTCACACCATGTCACTGATTATTGGTTGGCCATCCCATCGCTGCTATCACTAGCTATATGTACGTAATTGTCCCACAAGTTAATTACCACCACCGACTTATTATATAATATGTCTTTTAACGTCTGGCTCCTTCATCCTCATTAGTATTACGTCTCGCCCGTGGATCCTGGTCATCACCTATCCCACCTCCACTTATTACTTTTAAGATTAATACCTCATTGGATAAATGATTATCACTGTCCAACATTATTATTATTATTTGGTTATCCAACCAATTTTCCCTGTCATTTTCTCCCCATGCTGCCACATACTACGCAGCACGTTCGGTCATTTGAGAGTTTTGATGTACTGCTACACTTATACATCGACACTGGTGCTGCTCTATTTAGATTAGCTATGTACTCCCTCCTATTCCATTTATAAATTACATTTTAAAAAGTTTATTTAATTTCATTTATAAATCAGGGTGCGTCTTTTTAAATAATATTTGAAGAGTATTTTTAAAATTATTCTTTATGAAAAAAAAAATAACAGTACATTATTTTTTAGATTTGTTATATAGGAGCATGTTTGAAATTTTACTTACTTTTATTCCTTATACTTTTATTGTATTGGTATTGATGAGGTTGGTAGAAATGATTTATAAATAAGATCGGAGGGAGTACGTGTTATTCGTTTAGTACAGACAACTGTATTCTACAATCATAAAGAGCTCAATCTGCAATTCGTTAAGCAGGTTGCTGTTTTGGCGCCAAATATTCCAGAGCACTATGAGCTGCATTTTGCGGTTCCAATGGCGGGGGCAGTTATCTCTGCACTCAACACCAAATTGGACGCGACAACATTGTCCGTGATACTGGAACAATTAGAAGCTAAAATCATGTTGGTGGATTATCAGTTCGTTGAAGTTGTCCTTAATTCGTTCAACCTATTGTCCCAAAGAAAATGCAAGCCTCCCCTGCTGGTTGTTATGCCGGATCATAGCAAACAACCGTCTTTCATTTTTAAGCATCTCCCGCCAGATACCTTGAACTTCGACCAACTGCTTGAAAAGGGGCGGGCAGATTTCGAGATCAGGATGCCCAGCAATGAATGTAATCCTATATCAGTGAATTACACGTCAGGCTCCACGGGGACTCCTAAAGGAGCTGTTTACAGTCACAGAGGCGCCTATCTCAATTCACTGGCAGCAATCTCGCGGTTCGATATGAAACCCCAGCCCGTGTTTCTGTGGACAGTGGACATGTTTCGCTGCAACGGGTGGTGCTTCACTTGGGCCATGGCTACTCTGGGTGGCACCAATATTTGTCTCAGAAATGTCTCCGCCAAAGCCATCTTTGATGCAATCTCTCTTCACAACGTAAACCATTTGTGCGGTCCGCCCGCACTGCTGAACGCAATAGCAGATGCACCGTCAAGCGAGCAGAAGCCTCTGCCCCTGGGTGTGAGTATCACAGTTGCTGGAGTGCTACCTCCATCCCAAGTTTTTTGCGTGGTAGCAGAACTTGGGTTCAGTGTGAACGTTGGTTATGGCATGACGGAAGCAATGGGTCCTGTATTGGTGCGCCCTTGGAAGCCCAATTCAGGTTGTGAACTCACAGAACAACTCAGTTATGGAGATCAAGGGCTTCCCATCTTTATGATGGAAGGGATTGATGTCAAAGATCCGAACACAATGAAGAGCACTCCTTGTGATGGGAAAACCATTGGTGAGATTATGTTTAAAGGCAACACCATGATGCTGGGGTACCTCAAGAATCCACAAGCAACCAAGGAAGCTTTTAGGGAGGGATGGTACCGAACAGGGGACCTTGGAACGAAGCAAAGAGATGGTTCCGTGAGACTGAAGGACAGGGCAAAGGATATGATATATCCAAAAGGAGAGGCTGTGAGCTCACTTCAGGTAGAGGCAGTGTTGCTGAGCCACCCGAAGGTTCTGAACGCTGCTGTTGTGGGGAAATATGATGAACACATGGTAGAGTCCCCCTTTGCAGTTATCAAATTGAAAGAAGGATGTGGCGCCACCGTGGAAGATATCATCAGGTTTTGTAAAGCTAAGTTGGATACTCATATGGTTCCTCAGAGTGTAGTTTTTGGAGATTTGCCTGTTAATTCAACTGGCAAGGTTCAAAAATTTCTTATCAGAGAGAAGATCAAATGCGGTGGATGATGTGCCTCCGTAATCAATTTAAGTATGCATGACAATAATAAGAGTGGCCTTATATGTCTTATCTACTTTCCAATCATAATTCTCGAACACGCTTACTGTTCTCTTTTATGCTTTGTGGTGTAATCTATTAACTATCATACTTTTAGTTACTTGTCTAAAATGTTTATGACGCATTACGTTTAACAGTGCAGTTTAACTAGGGAGTTTTCTTTTAAAATATATGTAATTTTGACGCCATGAATTTTTAATTAGCTCATTAGGAATTCCCCGAGACAGACAAATTGCATTGATTTAATAATTTGTGGGATTAGAGAGAAGGGTTATTCGCTTAGCTATAACAAAAGTATTCACTTTCCAACCCAGCAAATAAACCAATATCTGGGAATATGAACTGTAAAGAAATAAAATACAAGTTGGGAGGATACGTCTGTAATGAAGAGTAAGTTTCTTCAAAAGCCAAGGCCCCTTGCCACCGTTGACAGTGACATGGTGGGTTGTGATTAGATTCCTTGGATTCCAATTCCTGTTCTTCAATCTTTTTTTTTTGGTCGATACAATAATCCTTCAATGTTTTTTTTTGGTTAACCACCCGATATCCAAAGCTTCGTCCTAACTAATTCGGATCCAATCTATGTCACACACCTAGCTATGGTAGATGAGTCTCCCAATGAAGGTCTTTTACATACACAAAGCTCGAACTTGAAATCTTACTTAAGTAGAATCGAACTACTTACCATGAAAATCAATCCTTATTTGTATAAGACAACATTACAGAGTGAGTTTCTCCCATTGGTTAAAAAGAGAAAGAAAGAAAAAAAGAATGAGTTCCTCCTATAGTCCCATATGTCATGAAACATTCTTGACTAATTGGGCTCCATTGTATTAGGTGGTCTAGTAAGGCTGCCCATGGCCTTAGCTTTCTCCCTCAAAACATATTTTTGTATCTTTCCTGTTGCAGTTTTTGGCAGGTCCTCGAAAACAATAGTTTTTGGAGCCATGTAAGGTGGTAATTGACTTCGACAAAAATCAATTATTTCTCGAGCATCTGCAGTAAATCCTTTTTTCAAACTCACAAATGCACAAGGTGTTTGCCCCCAATGGTCATCTGGTCTAGCTACAACTGCGGCTTCAAGAATTGCTGGATGGCTATATAAAACTGTTTCGACCTCCACTGAGCTAATATTCTCTCCCCCTGATATTATAATGTCCTTTAATCTATCCTTAATTTCCAAATAGCCATCAGAGTGTTTCACTCCCACATCTCCGCTATGAAACCACCCACCTCTGAAAGCTTCCTTTGTTGCTTCTGAATCTCTCAAATATCCACTCATCACTGTATTTCCTCTAAACATTACCTCACCCGTTGTTTCGCCATCGGCTGGAACGCTTTCCATAGTATTCGGATCTTTTACGTCAATTGCATCCAAAGCCACGTGGGGGATTCCTTGTCTAGCTTTTCTCTTGTATTTTTCTTCAAGAGCCATGGAATCCCACTCAAGTCTCCACTCACAAGAAGTCCCAGGACCATATGTTTCTGTTAGGCCATAAAGGTGAGATACACTAAAGCCAATCTCTTCCATCTTGGATAAGACTTGTGGTGGTGGTGGAGAACCCCCAGTCATCACCACCACCTTGTGGGTAAGTGGCCTTCTATCAGTCCATGCAGAGTTCACAATCATGTTTAAAACTGTAGGAGCTCCGCCCATGTGTGTCACTTTATGCTGTGTCACCTTTTCAAAAATGTCCTTTGGCGAGACTTTCCTTAGACACACATTGGTCCCACATTGAGCTGCCACTCCCCAAGGCAAACACCACCCGTTGCAGTGAAACATAGGCACAGTCCAAAGATAAACAGGCATAAACCCCATCCCAAAGAGAAGAATAGTTCCTAGAGTATTCAAATAGGCACCCCTGTGACTATAGAGAACCCCTTTTGGCCTAGACGTGGTGCCTGAGGTGTAATTCACACTTATAGGATCAAATTCACTATTTGGTCTCACAATCTCAAACCCACTATGCCCCATAGCTAGTAGCTCCTCATACTCACAACTGACTGAAGTAGTGTCAATGGTAGACGAGCAGTCACAATCAGTGATTAGAACTAAAGTAGGCAAGTTTCTAACTCTCTTGCTTAGCAGTTTCAATGCTATCCTTGCAACTTCGAGCAATTGGTAATCTACAAAGAGAACCTTTGCTTGTGAATGTTCTAGAAGAACTGAAACCATAGCTCCATCAAGACGTGAATTTAGAGTGCAAAGAATTGCTCCAGCCATTGGTACTGCAAAATGCAGCTCATACATTGCAGGGACATTAGGGGATAGGGTAGCAACCTGTTTGGAGAGAATACACAAAATAGCATCATTAGAGCAGGTAGGGAATTCCAAGTCCAACATGCTTAACACTTCCACATTTTTTTTGAAGCAATACAAAAAAAAAAAAAAGTCATCCCAGCTCTGCCTAAGAAAATTACTCGCAAGAGTCGCAAACTCGCAACTCGCGACTCGGATAAATCTTAGATGATACAGTGTCCTTCTTTGTCCAGCTTCGATTCTTTAGGGAATGGTCTCCTAAATATACCAAGGCCATGCAACGAGCACAACACCCAGAAAGATATTTAAACTCCGACCATAATAAAGGGGAAAAATCTTGCAAGCTGCAGCCGCGCCAATCAAAACGACGAAAAAGGGCATCAATTTGAAAACTCAGAATCGTAATCATAAACGCATGTTCGATCAAATTCGTGGAGTGATAAAGTTGCTATAGAATACAGAATAAACCTGAAATTGTGTCGCACAAACCATATTGATCAAAACGCCATATATATAACCAAGGGTCAAAAGGATAGCACTCACCAGATCCGCACGGGAAATCCCCAGCTGAGTGAGAGCAGAAGCTAGTTTCAAACAACGCAGATAAGTTTGTCCCCAGTTATATTGGAAACGACCATAGATAATAGAGGTTGTGTCGGTAGAGACATTAGCCGCTCTTTCCAAGAAGCTCACGGGAGACAAAGGGACGAAATTAGCAGAGCAGCGAAGCGCCCCCTCCATGGATTCCCTCGATTCGGGGTCAAAATATCGCACAAGGTTGCAGTATTTACGTAACTGAGGAGGTGTAGAAATGTAATTTGCTCTGAAGAATCGGAAGAGACCAGCCCAGGAAAGGTTCTTGAGGGAGCGGTTCTTCATGATGATCAGAAAGCAGAGTGAAGGATGAGAAGGCAAGGGAACAGGGAAATTCAAGGCAGAAAGATAAATGGGAAGTTTGAAGCTTGGCAATGGCTTGTTCTCGAGTTGAAATGGACAGGAAGATGAGATTCTTTTTTTTTTTTGGCCAAACGAAGGGTGCTGTCACTGACGATAACAACACGCAATTGTGCACCAACGGCTGTTCTCCGTTCATATCCAGTGTTATCATGTTAATATTTAATATTTTTTTTTTTCCAAATATTATGAGTATTGAGACAATGGGAAGGTCGCGGGGCGAAAAACTTAAAAAAAGGTGATGGGAAAGAGACACGCGAGCATCTGAGTTCAAGGTTCAAATTGATGCCGCAGTGAATTATCCGATCATTCCGATCCTCCTGGATGGAATAGATGCGGTGCCAGGAGTCAAAACAAGAGACGAGGGACTAGGCGGGATGGGAGATTATTTTATCCTGTCCTCCTCTGACTCCGCACATTTCATTTTCTATTTTTGGCCACATTCATTGCGTATTACATCCAGTCATAAAATTTTACACGATCGGAAATTTATTAAATTTTAATTTAGAACTTACCTAGTTTCGTCTTTTCTGAAGATATAGCTATTAGCTAGTGAAATCGATTTTCTTAATTCCTAATCATTTTTATTGTTCTAGACTGCTTCCAAATTATTGCTATTTTTAAATTCCTATTTCATGCACCCGCATCTTTTTTAAGTCAAAAGCCGTGCACATTGTGACATTGGTTGACAAAATAAGCTCAAAATATAATCCTTCAGAGAGATCATCGCCAGAGAACCTCCTCCAAAATGTAGAGAGCTCAAGAGGATTGATTCCACCACAAATATGACAACCTCCGGGAGAAATTAAATAAATTGGGTGAATTATGTTATTTGTAATTTATTCAATTAAAATATTTTAAATAATTTAAATAAAATTTTGTGTGACATTTTTTAATTGATTTTATTCTTATAATCAAATTTATATTTGATTTATTACTTTTTTTCTATCTATTATCATTAATATCAAAATTAAGTTATATTTAATATCATGTAGATATCATATTTTTATTGAACAAGTCATAAATAATATGATACGCATAGTTTATTTAAGAATTTTTCTAACCTCAAAAGGTTAATCCCTTTTCTGTTTTTTCTTAAAGGAAATACACAAGTGGATTGCATCATTCCCTCCGTTCTTCATATAAATCATTTGCTTGAAGAGTTTTATATTTTAAAATGTAAGTCACTTTGTAAATTAAAAGTTTATGAGATATTTATTGTTTTTTTGAAAAACTCCTGTCTTGTCAAGTTCTAATAAGAGGATGAAAAGAGTACATGTTTTTCAAATTTATGTTATTTGTTAAACGTAAAAATAAAGATAAGACTTAAGAGCCATTTCAAGACAATTTTAAATTTTTAATATTGGAACTAATTTCTTGTATTATAAAATAATTAAAAGTTACTTACATTTTAAAAAAAAACAAAAGTGACTTGTATTAAGTATTTCTTTTTTTTTTATAGTTTATGTAAGTTGGCTCCCTCTCTCATAAGATCAGGAGATGCCCCGTTTAAAGAATATTTATGGAAATATTTACCATTTATCAGTAAAATAGCAAGATTCAAATATTAGCACAATACAAAGATAACAAAGCGTGAAATTAACAATTAGGTATAGATCTTTAGGTGGAAGGGGGGGGGGGGGGAGGGGAAGAAGCAACCACGTAGAAGAGAAACAAGACAGCAACTAAACAGAAAAGGAAAGCATAAACTAGATTACCATAACAAGAAGTTTCTATCGCCTCTGGAATCTCTAGTTCAAAAGTCACATTCAAGCACAACACATCAGCTAGAAGGAGGGTGATTCATTCACCCACCTGATAGGGTTTATCCTCCTAAATGCCATCGTCTAAATATCAATGCAAAAGCCCAACTACAATCTCTCGAGTTAATTCATCGGTATCATCAACAATATCCTTACTGATCTAATCTCGAGAGACCAGAGACTAGGATCCAATGCCCAGCGTGGGTTGCACTATTTATAAGGAAAATGAACTAATGCCCAGTTTGTATTTGGAATTGGCTTAGAATAAGATGGAAATAGAATCTACACAAAAAGGAATTGTAACTAAACTATAAAATCTGTCCAATCCTGTTCCTCATTTATGTTATTTGATATAGCAGCAGGCGTAGTAATGGCGCAATCCAAGACTAAAGAGTCAGGAGATAGAATTGCCATCCATCGCATGTATTGAATTGAAATGATAAACTCAAAACGGTGAGTTGAATCAAGATGCGATCGAGGAGCAAGAATGGATTATTGAAGCAAGAAATAGGGATGAGTAGTTAAATGAGAAGAGATGAGTGCAAAGTAGCTATGACGGAGTTAGCGATTTGTTGGGTGGTGCTTGAGCCTCCCAGGCCTTTAGACCAATGATGCCCCTCTAAAATGACTTGTTTCACAGCACTCTCTAACCGATTGGCAAATGCTAGAAACTGCAAATGCCTCAGCATCATTGTCGATGATAGCAAGAACGCCACAGGGTTGGCCATCTTCTGTCTTGTTATCTATAATATTCTTTAAATATCTCTTATTATTATTGTGTATATATCTCAATCATTATTAGGAGATAATATTTGATATTATTGTATTATTTATTTTCTTTGTGTATATTATATACCATTCAAATCAATAATAGATATGACATTTTTCAATTCTTTTTTCATTTATCTCTCTTGTCTCTGATAGTTTTCATGATACCAGAGTCATATAATATTTTTTTAATGATAAGTCAGCTTTTAAATAGCATTACCCTTCCTTCACAGCAATGTTGCCGTCCTTCGTCAGAAGTTCAAATTCACCTTAAATCTATTTTCGCATATCCACAAGGTAGTTTCGATAAATTGGCATTTTCAAATTCATTAACCATTAGATCATGTTTAAATTTAGTCAGCAAGTACAGAACATCCAGTGCATTATTTTCAATGATCAGATCGTTGATTAGTTTCCTGGTGTAAACCTATGCCATTTGCACTATAATGTCTGGTTTGGGTGTTTTTAATTCTTTATTCTCTTTTGTAAGCCTTTTTTTCCCTTAAAAAATGGAAAATTTAAAGGTTGCTCAATTTGTATTATTTACCTTGAATGGTTGCAATTACCAACTTTAGTTAGAAAAATGTGATCTTGTTCAGCCTACTTTAGGATCCTCTCTGATTGAACTTGAAACTTTTTTGCGCATGTTCATCTCCAGTTCCTCTAGCCTATTTGTTGCCTTATCTACTCTCACCGGTAAATCCACTTCGTATTTTAACTCTGCTCATCATAATCATATGATAGGTCAGGAAAATTTCTTCTCCTATATGACACCTAACTTTACTGCCTATCCTATACACACTGTTGATAATTCTCAAATGCCTGTTAGTCATATTGGTGCTGTCTCCTTGCCTTCCCTATCCATTTATGATACATATTTTATTCCTACCATTAACTTCAACCTTCTTTTTGTTGGACAACTTGTTGATATGGGTTATGATGTGTTATTTAATAAACGTGGTTATATTATGATGAATTCTCAGATAGGACAAGTTGTCGGGACCAGGCATAAATTTGGTCACATGTTCAAGCTCACCTCAATGCACCTACCTGAGATCAATGTTCTCATATTGTGTACTGCCCCTACATCCTCTTCTCCTAATTCTTCTCCCGACTTATAGCATCATCATCTTGCTTACCCTTCTGTGAGTAAATTGCATCCTTTAATTTCTAGTGGTTTTTTAGATCATGTTCATAGTCATTCTTTATCGTGTGTTTCTTGTCAGACTGCTAAACAACCTGCTTTGTATTTTCATAAAAATGATTTTGTTACTACTTCTTCATTTAATTTGATTCATTCTGATGTTTGGGGTCTACACCTACTTTCTCTATAGGGGGATCGTGACATTTTATAATTTTTGTTAATGACTTTTCTCATTTTACTTGGATTTATATGATGAAATATCTATTTAAGTTACCTGGATATTTATATCAAATTTACTACTAAAATTCACATCAATATTATAAAGTTATCAAAAAATTTCATTATAATAATGCTTTAGAATATCATGACTTTAGATTACTCAGCTTTCTTGATTCTTAAGGCACTATTTCTTAATACTTGTGTCCTTACACTTCTTAATAGAATGGTCGTGTTGAGCGTAAACATCATTATATTCTTGATTCTGTTAAAGCATTGCTCATTTCCTTTTCTTGTCTTGAATGCTTTTGGGGTGAAGTAGCCTTAACATCTATCTTTTACATCAATCGACTCCCGTCTCCTATCATTAACAACTCTTTTTAAGCGTTTCCATGGTTATTCTCCCAATTATAGTCTTTTAAAAGTCTTTGATTTTGCTTGTTTTGTCTTTCTTCCACCTTATGAGATAAACAAACTTCAAGCTTGTTCTCGTGTATGTTGTTTTCTTGGTTATGATTCTTAGTATAAGGGTTATCGTTGTTGGGATCCTCTCTTTCATTGTATTCACATTTCTCAACATGTTGTCTTTTGAAAAAATATCAAGTCTTTATCTCTAACTGATCTCTTGTCATTCTCATCTTCTTCATCTTTTGTTTTTATAAATATTTTTGTTGATCTTTTTCCTAATGACTCAAGTATAGACTTTACTATTGAGCTCGTTTCGATGACTACATTGTGCCTACTCCAAATATGCTTACTGTCACACCTACTCCTCCAGCACAAGTCATGCCCAATGAATCTATATCATCCAGAGGCTCTTAGCCCATTCGTGTAAGAAATCCTCTCTCTTGTCTCACTCCAATTTCAGAAACCCAAATCTTTTAAGGAAGACTTTCGTGATCCTCTTTGGCGGTAAGCTATGGATGAGGAATTGTATGCCCTAATGAAAATGCATAATTGGGATCTTGTTGATCTTCCTTTTAGTAAAGCTCTTCTTGGGTGCTGATGGATTTATAAGAACAAGACTTATTCTAATGGCTCTTTGAAGCAATATAAGGCTCGCTTAGTGGCCCAAGGTTTCACTCAGGAGTATAGTGTTGATTATGAGGAAACTTTTTCAACTATTACTTGTATAACTTTTATTCATAGCCTTTTAGCCATTGCTATTGTTAAGCGCTGGACTCTTCATCAGATAGATGTTAAAAAAGCCTTCTTG